TTTAAGTGTACTGAAATTTTTCAGTAAGCCATGTTTTGAACACTTATTATGCAAAAAAGGGAAAATATAAATCATTTTTTTGATTGCATGTTGAAATGATATTATCTTGGCTTGTTTAGTTGCTAAGTCATGTCTCTTTTGCAACCCCACGAACTGTAGCCCGCCAGGCTCCTTCTGTCCATGGGATTTCCCCAGGCAGGAATACTGGAGTGGGTTGCCATTTCCTCCTCCAGGGGATCTTTCCAACCCAGAGATCAAACCTGCGTCTCCTGCATTGGCAGGTGGATTCTTTACCACTGAGCCACCAGGGAAGCCCATTATCTTGGATAGATAGGGTTAAACAAAATACATTACTAAAAGAAAAAAAAAGACATGCATAATACAGTTCCCAAAAAGTATATGTGGAATGAAGGAGTCAGACCTCAACTTGGAATCTGGCTGCCACTTACTTAGTCAGGTAACTTAACCTCTCTGGACCTCAGATGATTGTTTTTTCCCCTGTCCAGTGGGGATAAATATTAATCCCATAGCATTTTCTGTCACCTCAAGCCACTCTCTTCAGAGGAGACCAACCCATCCCCAGCATCTTCCTGCCACCTCCAGATTTGAAACAGCGATGCTTGTCTCCAAGGATCTTGCTTCATAACTTGCTACCTGTCTGCTCTGCACTGCTTATCCCAACCTAGTGCCTGGCATACAGTAGGTGCTCACCACCTGTTTGTTGAATGAATAACAAATGGCCCCAAACAGGTGTTTGATGAAGATCAGTGACATTGCCATCGCCTTTCCTGGCTGGGAGACATCTGCTTGCTCACTCCAGTCACCCCTGGGAACGTGGCTGGTATATAACAGGTGCCCAGATACCTGTGTGGAAGGGCTGAGTGGAGCTCAGCATCCTCAAAGTGAAAATTGCTCATTTGTGTTCAACTCTGCGACCCCATGGAATTCTCCAGGCCAGAATACTGGAGTGGGTAGTCTTTCCCTTCTTCAGGCAATCTTTCCAACCCAGGGATCAAACCCACGTCCCCCGCATTGCAGGCGGATTCTTCACCAGCTGAGCCACAAGGGAAGCCCAAGAATACTTGAGTAGGTAGCCTATCCCTTCTCCATCGGATCTTCCTGACCCAGGAATCGAACTGAGGTCTCCTGCATTGCAGGCAGTTTCTTTACCAACTGAGCTATCAGGGAAGCCCCAGCATCTTCAAAGAGGGACTCATACCCCTATGGGACCCTCTCCTCAGGACCCACCGCCCTCCCTTTCCTTCCCCAGCTGGCCCAGCCCCAGCTGGCCCAGCCCCCGCATGTTCAATAGGTGTGGGAGAAACACAAGGACTGAGGCCACGACCAGTGGTGGTAGCCCGAGTTCCCTGCGCAGGTCCCCTGGAACAAGCAGCTGGTCAGTCCGGGGAGGGAAGCCTTTCAAATCTGACTTTGCAGGAGGCAGGCCAACCACATGGGGAACACAGTAAAATGGGTCACACAGGGAACTAAGTCCCATCCTTTTAAAAAAAAAATAGCACTTTTCCTTCCTTCCTCCAGTTGCCTAGCAACCACTGTGCATCTGGACCAGAGTGAGAGCCAGCTGGGTACAACAGAGCCCAGGCCTGGCAGACAGGATACCCAGGGTCTGGTGTGTGGAGTCAGGATGGTGGGGGGTGGGGTGGGGATGGCATCCCAGTGGCTTCTCTCAGAGGCCACCTGAACCAGGACCTGGAGGTACCAGAGGTTCAGGAGGGCAGTAGGCAGCATGGGGCGTTAGAGGTGGAGGTGTGATGCAAGAGCAACTGCAGGAGGCCCGCCACCCAGGATCCTTCCTGATGAGCCCCAGGTCTCTGCTCAGTGGCCTTCCTCCATTAGGAGATGTCCCCCTTTCTTCACAGTAATAAAAGTCGGGTTTTCCTGGCCAAAGAATAAAAAATAAAAAGGGTGAAAAAGGGCCTCTTAGACCCTCAGTTTCCTTCTCTATAATATTTGTCAACTGTTATGAGCACCTGGGAGGTCCTCCAGCAGAGAAATGAGAGCGAGCCAGGTACCCAGACCCCCCCAGAGGAGCTCACTCCAAAGGCAGTGGTTGGTATTTCCCCTCACCCAGCCACCTGGCTGCCCCATTCTGCAGTATGGCCATCCGAGAGGTGCGCTGAGCTGTGCCCCTGACCCTTCCCCTCACCCTGCACTGCATCCTGCCCTGCGGGCCCTGGGGTGTGGTCAGTCCCTGAATTTGGCTCAGCTGCAGCTGGCGGTGACCCACAATGGCCTCATGCTCAGAGCTCAGGGCTGGGGAGCAGGAGGCGGCTTTGTCCTCTGCGCTGTGTTCACACATGCGGAGAAGAGGGTCCCCTCCCTGGAGACAGTTGACCCTGACCACCTCCAGGAGCTGCGGGAACACAGGCCCCTTTCTCAGCTGAGCCCTGACCGTGGAGGTCTGGCCCCACAATCAGCAACTGCGGTCCTCCGAACTCTAGGTCTCCCCCCAGGGCCCTTAGTCCTGAAGCATCTTGTCCGCCGCTCAGACACTTGAGTGCAAAAACCCCTGCCTGCCCTGCGTGCTGGTTCCTCAGAGCCCTTGCTCCCTTTTAAAGCTGCTGGTGGGACTAACTGTGAGCGGCGGGGAGGTGGGCTTGCTCACCGGGGACCTCCACTACTACTGGGTAACGCCACGTCTTGGCCGCGTGGGCAGGCAGGGACGGTGGGCCTTAGCGAGGAGGCTGGTCCCGGCCCGCCACGCCGCGTCCCCAAGCCCGCAGCCACGCGGAACCGCGTCCTGGACCAGCCTCACCTAGTCCAGGAGCGGCCACCACCGGCGCAGGACCGCTGGGCTCCAGGCCGGTGAGTCCGTAAGCACCGCCCTGGTCTCAGCCCGTCAGAAAGCTCCGCCCCGGCGCTCAGTGTCTTTCATCAAGGCCCGGCCCCTACGCCAAGCCTCACCCATTTAGCCACGCGACCGGGCCCCAGGGAGAGGGTGAGGGGCCCCGCCAGGGTCTCCTGTTGGAGCTGGAGAGATGAGAAAGGGGTAGAGAATGTCATAAATGCCCCGAATGATCTACAGCTAAGGAAGTTGACTATAAAAAGTTACAGACGTGAGGTTACAGCTGTGAGGTTTCTGCAGCGTCCCCTTCCTCGCTACCTGCTGCTCCTCCACCCCCACGGCCCCCACCCTCACCCCTCTGTTCCAGCTGGACCACGCTGCCCCTAGAAAAAAAGAAACTCCTTCTAGGTGGGTGCCTGCTGGCGTGGTTACCTGGAGCTCCCGCTTTTCTCCCAAAACCAGAACATTATTGTGATCCTTATTCTCAAGATAATATTCGGGAAAATTTAAGTTGCATATATTGCACTGTTAAAGAAATATATATATATAGAGAGAGAGACAGAGACAGAGACAGAGACAGGGAAGCCATTGTGGCTAATACATGAGTTAACTTGAATTTTATTATTATTATTCTTATTTTTAGGCCATGGCTCTCAGCTTGAGGGGATCTGAGATTCCTCACCAAGGATCGAACCCCAGGTCCCCTGCATTGAGAGCGTGGAGGCTTAACCACTGGACCACCAGGGAGGTCCCCTGTTAACTTAAATTTGATGCTAGCTAAAAAAGCCTGTTTGTGGCCTATCAACCTACATTGTACATCTGCTTTAATTATTAAAGAAGAGGATACTGACCAGAAGTCAAGGATGTCCATGTCCAAAATAAAGATTAAAGTCCTTCCCGGGATGCCAACGCTGGTCCTCCTCTGATAAGACTCACTTCACAGGTGCCAAGGTCATACTGACTTGCCTCAAACGTGCTGGTCTGTTCTGAGACCTTGAAGAAATGTCTCCCTGAATTGTTTAACATTTTTTGTTCTGAGAAGATACAAAACTGTGCTGAAAACCCTGCTTCTTTGGAGCAGTTTCACAGAGTAACCTGGGAAGCAGGCTTCTGGGCTAGCCCTCAGTCTGGCTCAAATAAAACTCTTTTCTTAATATCGTGGTGTTTTTTTTTTTTTTTTTTTTTTGCATGAGACATTACCCATTGAAAGTGTACCATTTCATGCTGTTTACTATATTCACAGAGTCCCTCCACCACCACCACCATCTAATTTCAGAGCGAAAAGAAATCTATACCGTTCCTTTCACCCTCATCCCCATTCTCCCCTCCTCCCAGCCTATGGTGACAGCTGATTTTACTTTCTGTTTCTGTGGGTTTGCCTGTTCTCAAAAAACAGGGCTTCTCTGTGTCACAATAAGTCACCCTACTGTATGGAAGAAGAGAAAAAGGGATGAAGTCAAGGCCCCATGGGCACAGGTGTCTGGGGAGTAGGGAGAAGAGGTGCAGGCTCTCCCCTGCTCTAGGCAGCCTGAGTCCTGCCTGTGGGAAGCCAGGGTCCACCTTGAGGTGCAGCAAGAAGGGAGCCAGGAGGAGGAGGAGGAGGAAAGGCCCTTCAGGGAGAAAGCCAGGCTGCTGGCTGAGGGGCCTGGAGGGGGAGAAGGTGAACCTTCAAGGGGGCTGGCTAAGGTCAAGGCTGGGTCTGTCCACCTGCACCCGTCCACCTCACCCCCATCCAAGCAGTTGGTAGAAGGTATCGTCTCCTGCCCAGCTCTTTGATTCGGATCCTTTTACCCCGGGCCCCCAACTTCCGCCAAGTGCATCCTGACACTGGAGAGAAGAGCTAGAAAAAATGGGGAGAAGAGAGGAGGGCAGGGCTGGAGGGAGAAGCCAGGAGGTGGAGTGAGGGAGCAGGAGGGAGGGCGGAGCAGCAGGGTGGGGTTCCATCTATAAAGGGTGAGGCCTGCTGGCCTGGCAGGCAGGAGAGCTCAGGTCCACTCCAGCAGGCGCCAGCTCCAGGGACCACATAGGCTTTGGTGAGTCCTCCCCGAAACCAGCAGCAGGTCCCTGCAGCACTTGTCCGCACCCCATGCCACCTGCCTCCCATGCAGGGGGCCCTGGCTTGAGATGGGGGTGCTCCCGATGCCCTCCGCCGTCCCTGTTGGGTCCTCATCATCCACCCACCTGTTCTCCCCAGTTAATCCTCACGGTAGGTGCCAGAGGGGGAGGACCAGCCTGCACTATGAATCCGTGGCTCCTGGTCTGCCTGGTGGGCTGCTTCGTGGTTGCCTGGGCTCCCACTGTCCACTCTCAAGGTACTGACTCAGTTCATCCCTACCCCCACCTCTGGAGTCCCCTCTCCCCAACTTTCCTGTGCCTCCCGCTCCCAATATGCTGCTCCCCTCCTCCAGAAACCTCCCCTGATGCCATCAGCACTGAACCCATTCTCTGATGGACAGCTCCCCCAGCAGGCATGCAAAAACTCCCAGCATTTGTGCAGCTCCTTGGGGGTGATGGTCCTCAGCCTCTCCTTCCAGAGCCCCTGGGTGCCTCCCCCACAGTCCATGACCCAAGACATCCCTCCAAACTCCAGCCAGTCCAGGAACTATGGGGAGCAGATGGCAGCATGTCTGCTTACTGCCCAGGACACATTGCAGTGACCTGAGCCTGCAAAGCCCCTAGGGGTAGGGGGCATTGAGATCAGAGTCTGGGAGCCCAATGAAAATGGGTCTCCATCTTGGCTTCCCCCACCCAGGCTACCTGTGTGGTCTGGCCTTTATGACCCCCAATTTTTTCATCTGCAAAGTTGGGTTCCAAATTCCCACTGCAGAGATGGGACATGAGGATTCAATTGGATACTCCTGGCCCAGTGCCTGGCAGCTACTATGATAACCATTACTGCTATTAACGAATTTCTCTCCTCCTCTCCGGAGATTAGGCACTTGAGGATATTGGGGACCAAAGGTCATTCCGGATGCCCCCCCAGTGTTCCCTCAGCTCTGCCACTGTTTTCTCCGTCCCCGTGGGCCTGAGGAGGCAGCTGAGTCCCAGCAGGTGGCCAAGCAGAACCCCTGGCCAGGTGGAAGAGCCATGGCCCCACCCACCTGCCCCACCTGCCCCTCATTAGGTCTGAGAGGCCCTCGCCCTGCCCCAGCAGACCTTAGCCTTTGCCCAGGATGGGGCTGGGCCTCCTTCTCATTGTCCTCTAATAAAAGGCCCATTTCAGGAGCCAGGCCCAACCTGGGCCCTTTGATCCTGGGGGCATGGTTGCCCCCAGCCCCGGGAAGCTTCCTGCCCGGCACTGCAACACGGTCTATCTGATTCCACTGTTCCTTGCTTTCTGTGTCAAGGTGGGGATGGAGGGAGCCTTCAAGTCCTCCCAAGCCCCTCCCAGAAGTCAGATGTGGCTCCTGAAGGCAGGGATTGTCAGAGGGATGGACCCCAGAGGACCTTGAAGGCCCAGCACTGTTTCCATATTAATTCATCCTCTGCTCATCCCACCCTTTCATCCTCCCTGATACTTCTGGCACCAGCACCTCCACGTCAAGCCACGCCCCCTCCCCTTCTCAGGCCATTGCACCCATTCCTTGCCCTCTGCACTGGAGCAGGAATGGAAATGGCCTTGGTCGATTTATTTCGTGGTCTTGGACCCTTCCCAGCTGGGGCCTGCGGGGCCCTCTCCGACTCCTGCCAGCTGTCCCTTTGTCAAGGGCCCGAGATGAATCCAGCGGCTACCTCACTGTCTGCGCCGTCCCTGGGCCTCCACAGTGCCTAGAAGGGTTGCAGTGTGTGCGCGTGGATAACCACGTCTGTGGGCATCCCTGCAGAGCGCATGCGCGGCCACACACCTCAGTGGGGGCATCTCTGCAGGCATACGTAGTCGCACATGCGCGTAGGTGCCGTGTCTGTGGACGGTCCTGCACAGTGCATGCGCAGCCATACATGCTCGTGCTCAGACTTGAGCCTGTGGGCGGCTGTGTGGTCACAGGTGCCTTTGAGGACTGCTGCTTGGCCTACCACCGCCGGACCAGGCTGTCCGTGCTGCGGCACGCCCAGAGCTACCACCGCCAGGATGTGAGCGGGAGCTGCAATCTGCCTGCTGTGATGTGAGTGGGACCGCGGGGAATAGGCGGGGGAATAGGCGGGGGAATCGGCGGGGGCCGTCACACAACTTTCCTCTCCACTTACATCCTCACCTGGGCATCCCCATCCCTGCAGCTTCTTCTTACCCCAGAAAAACAAGATGGTATGCGGGAGGCCAGGGGCCAGGTGGGTTGTGGCTGGGATGAAGATTTTGGATGCCCGGAAAAAGAACCAGTTAAAGCACCCGGAGAAGCATCACGGCACCCGGAGAAACTTCCGAGGTGGGTGAGACCCCAGGCCAGCATCTAAGAAGTCCATCCTCCCAGCTGCGGCCCCTGAACTTCTCAACCCTCGAAGGAGGGGATGACAACCAAGTCTCTGACAGCTGCCTCCACGCCAAGGAGAGGCAGGGGCGGGTGAGTGGGAGGCTGAAGCAATGTGCAGTTTTAAGTCAAGACACTTTCAATAGCTAGAGATGGTAAATTCAAGAAAACAGGAAACTCATTGACTCAAATAACCAGCCAACATGAGGCTTCAGGTTGGGGTGGATCCAGGTGCTCAAAAGGTATAGGCGGCACTCTTTTTCTATTTCTCTTGCCTTCTGACAGTCCCTCACTCTGGGGTGAGGAAATCGAGCTCTGGAACCTCAACACTTCCATTGTCGAGGTTCAGGGTCTCCACCAGAAACAGCAAGAGGAAAACTTCCCTCCTGTCAACTGCTAATCCAGGTCGACTGTTGGTCACGTGACCACCCCTCTCCTTGCGTCTCCCTCCCACCCCCAACTGCGCCCCATCACTGCTGCAGAGGAATGAGGGCTCTCTGATCAGCCTCATAGATTCACATGGGCGAGTCCTAGGGGGCTGATCATCACCCTGCCCCTGTCCAGAGGGGCTTCGGCAGGGTAATGAAATGCCAGGCATGTGAACCAAAAGCTGCAGGGCCCCCTCCACCTCACTCCACTCCAGTCCTCCTCACCTGCCAACCCCTCTGATCCCTCCAGCAGGACCGTGAGCCCACACTACTCCAGGATCTGCCCACACGAGATGGGCCGGACCTCTCTCTGCCACAGTCATCACTCTGCGGCCTTGACTGCCCCAGCCCCTCTGTCCTCCAGGGCAAAGCTCAACCCCTGTACCTGAGGCTGTGCCCGGCCTCTCCCTGTCACCCCTACCACCTCCTGCCCCTCCAGCAACTGGCACCAGGGAGCCCTGTTACTTCAAGTCCTGCGCCTGCTCCAGGCACCAGAGTCACACCTGCCTGGGTAACCATTCTCGGAAAGAACCATGGCGATCGTTGCCTGCCTGCATGGACACACCTACCTGCATCCCTCTGGGTCCCTGCAGAGCTTCAGTTCTCTCCCAGGACCTGCTTCCAAAACTTTTAAATAAACCAAAGATGGGACGCCATGCTTGTCTCCGTCACCTTTTATTATGGTGTGAACCTCCAGTCTGTGTTGAAACCCACATGATGCCCTCTGACCACAGCATCTATGCTCTTAGGCTGGGAGGGCCAAGCACTGGTATGAGTGGCTGCAGGCTCTGTATGAGTCCCGCCTTGTGCTTCACAGTGGCGGCCTTGAGCAGATCAGCCTTTCTTCCTTTCTCACCACTGGGGTCACCATGCCTGCTCTGCCCAGACCGCTGGGCTGTAGTGAGACTGGGTGATGGACAGAGAGGTTCTCCGCACACTCTGATGGGACCCAGAGGCTCCTGACAAGTCAGGTGGGCCAGGACTGGAATAAGTACAGAGCCTTGTAGCCAAGCACTAGTGACTGCTCTCCAGGGGAAGGTAGAGCCACACACTGGGGCCCTGGGAATCTCACCCAGGTCGAGCCACCCAACTGTGCGGCCTCCGTTTCCACCATGACAGAGAATGTTCCAGATGATACCCAAATGTACCATCCCTAGAGGACAATAAGTGGTCGGGGGCCAGGGTGCAGACTCGGCGGAATGTCCTGGTCCCACTACACTCTGTGGGTGCCCGGAGCAGGTTCCACAAACTCCTGAAGCCTTGGTTTCCCTTCTGTAAAACGGAGGTGGTAACACTGCCTGCCTCATACAAGTTCATGGGAACTAAATATGCTATCATTTGTTACACATCAAAGCACCTGCACAAGCTTAACCTTAACACGATGAGTCTATTGAGCTTGGCCATCAAATTCAGTAGATCCAGCCCAACCTGGCATGGTTCCCTGACTTTGAACTCGGTTCTTCTACTTGTACCTTGGTGTTGCCTTGGTCAGGTTGCTCAATCTCTCTCAGCCTCAGTTTTCCTATCTGTAAAATGGGGATGAGAGTAACAGTACTTATTCCACGGGGTTATATATGTAACAGGGAAGAACCTTTTGTATCCTATTTCAAGTTAATCACTAAAGGGATGTTGCCTATAAGCTTAAATTATACATAATGACCCATCTCTGGGAACCCTGCTTCCCAGGTAATGAGCACAAAGCTAAAACACCTTTGATTAGCTTACAGGAGGCATCCAGGCCAGGCCCACCTGTGAACGACTGCAGGAAGGAAGAAATTAACACATCCCCTCCCCTCTGGAGGCTGACCAGAACCAGGAAATTGGTTTGACTTCACACCCTCCCCTTTTAGTATAAAAGAAGCCTGGATTCAACTCAGGCAACACATTCCTTTGGGGCACAAGTCCACCATCTTCTCAGTTTGTTGGCTCTCTGAATAAAGTCGCTATTCTTTGCCCCAACATCTCATCTCCCGATTTATCGACCTGTCGTGCAGTGAGCAGTGTGCGAGCTTGGACTCAGTAAGAAAGACCGAATGGGTCAGTAATGGTAAAATACTTAGAATGGTGCCTCGTATAGTATGTCGTCTGGGCTCATGAATCATTATTATCAGTGATGGTAAACCCTCGAGGGAACCCGTGGTTAGCACTGCAGCCTGACTTTGTGCCAGAACTCCCAGGTCTGAAGTTGGCAGAACCTACCTGCACCCTGGGATGATGCCCCAAGATGCAGTGTTGGTTTTCACCCATCTCACCTACACCCTTCCTCCTCAGAACCTGGGGCAGAAGCTCATGCTTCCCAAAGCTGCTGCCCTCCTGGTCCCCTCCTCGTAAGCCCTGCCTGGCCCTGCCAAGAACAGCCTTTACTGCCAGAACTTGCCAAAGGACGTGCTTAACCCAAAATAACTTTATTGTTGTCTCTGCTTCTGATATGAAAGTATCCTCAGAACCTTAGCTCAGCTCCCCGTGGGGATGATGAACATGGTTGCACATCAGTGACTGAGCTGGGGCCCCGCGTGCTCTTCTGATGGAAGAGACGAGCCTTAGGCCCACTCCAGCCACCCATTCCCATGGCCTCCCGACCCCCTGCAGTGCAGAAGTTTCAGCCTGAGATTGACCAGATACAGTGAAACCCAGGGCCCTCCTGGACCCTGGCTGTAGAAGTGGAGGGGACACGCAGCTGCGGCTGCCAGCTGTCTCCAGGAAACAGTGTCGGGGTCCCTCGGGTAGAGGCCGGGCTCGCTTGAGGTCAGAGGATAGCACTTCACTCTTCCTGAGTTTTGGGGTTCCACCTGGTCGGCCATTGCTGCAGGGGATCGAACCCTCCCGCCTTCCAAATCTCCCACCTCTGGAGAGGAGGACCACATGGGGACCCTGGGGCCCACTGAGTCCAGGGCTTGTCACTAGGGTCTCCCGGTGGGGGGGTGGGTCATAGCAAACAGAGTGACATCAGTTTCCCCAAAACCCCATGGAAGGAGGCAGAAGTGGGGCAGTGCCCAGGTGGTGAGTCTGAAAATCAGGCTGCAGGGGGTGCCTGGGGCCAGGTGGGAGGTGTGGGAACCCCCGGATTACAGTAGCTGCAACTGCACCTTCAGCCGCAAGGCTCGGCCCCCCAGCCGCCCCTCTGGCTGGGTGCCCCAGGGCTCGGCCACACTCACAACCTCCAGCTGGTAGGTGCCAGGCCCTGGCTTCCGGCGCCCCAGCTGCAGGGAGCTGAGACCATGAAGGTGATGCATGCGGAAGAAGCCTCGTTGGTTGCCGCGGGCAATGACGTAGCGGATGCGGCCCCCCAGACTCTCCAGCGCTGGCCTCAGCTCTAGGATGTGCTGGGCCTGGCCCAGACAGGAGAGGTTCAGTCCCAAGGTCAGCGGAGCCTCCGTGTCAAGGCTGGCCAGGCTCGCCTGGGGAGAAAGACCGGGTGGATGATGGCAGGGGCTCGGAGAAATCAGAATGCCAGGGTATGGTGGGAGGCAGGGGGCCAAGAGGAGACTTTCAGCCAGTCTCTAAAGTGGAGTGAAAAAGGGACCACTCAATGCCCTTGACTCCTGTCTAGCCCTCCACCCACAAGGCCAATGGTCAGCTTGGGCTGTAGACAGAGGGTGAAGGTGAAGACTGGTTCCCAAGTGGAAAGCAAAGAGGGGGAGCCAGGCTGACTTCAGATCTCTTGTTTTGACCGAGGGACCTTACTTGGATCCCTGCCAGTCTGGATGGAAGAAATAGAGGATTCCCCGTCAGATACCCAGACCAAAGAATTGATGCTTTCCAACTGTGGTGCTGGAAAAGACTCTTGAGAGTCCCTTGGACTGCAAGGAGATCAAACCAGTCAATCCTAAGGGAAATCAACCCATGAATATTCATTGGAAGAACTGATGCTGAAGCTGAAGCTCCAATACTTTGGCCACCTGATGTGAAGAGCCAACTCATTGGAAAAGACTCTGATGCTGGGAAATATTGAGGGCAAAAGAAGAAGAGTACGACAGAGGACAATAGTTGGATGGCATCACTGACTCAATGGACATGAGTTTGAGCAAACTCCGGGAGATAGTGAAGGACAGGGAAGCCCGGCATGGTGCAGTTCATGGGGTTACAGAGAGTCAGATACGATTTGACAACCGAACAACAACCCAGACCAGGAGGCAGTCAGACGGCATCAGGCCCCAAAACGCTAAGGTCACTCAAAGGTGGTCTGGGGTGGCTAGAGTTATGACCATGGGCATTGCAGCAAGAGCCAGCCCCAGACACACAGTGACAGAAACACAGAGGAGCCAGACAGAGAAGCTGCCCAGTATCGCTCCAGTTCCGGAGGCCTGCCGCACTTCCTGCATCTGGGCTCTCTGAGAGCCCCGCTGTGTGCAGATGACAAACCCCTCTTTATCTGAGCTCCTCTGAATGCTTCCTGGCCCTGGCAGCCAGACAGGACCCCTGAATAAGCCAGCAAACCTCAATGGCAGGCTGACCCTGGCTGGGTGATGAGTCCAATCCCACAGGAGGTTATCTGTGTTTTCGTCTCCTTTGCTCTGGGCAGAGCTGTTTGTTCTGCCTAATTTACATGCTGACGGGGGTGTTTTGCTGTTGCCTGAAAGTGAAAGCTATTCCTGTCCGTGCCCCTCCTTCCCCTGCCTTTCAGTTCCAGAGATTTAGCCCTTCACCAGCAATGCTGCTAGACATGCACTCTTAGTGACACCTGCTGGCAGTCCATGGGTATTGCAAGCAAAACCACAAGACCCAGCCTGCTTCTGCCTAGATCTGCTTGGGTCCATGCTAGGAGCCCTGACAACCACTCCAGTCACTCTTATTGAGTTTCAAGGACTGGTGAAACAGTGGCAAACCTGAGACACTGAGCCTTATCCCTGTGAAGCTTACAAAAATAATGGCAACAAAGGAAACATACCCACATGGTTTTTCCCAGAAAGGGGAAAACGACTAGAAGGAAAAGAAAAGCAAAAGAAGTGCTTAGAGCAGCACATGTATCCAGCAGGTGCTCAACAAATGCTTAGCTTTCAGATGCCTTAGAGGGGATGGTGGCAAGACTGGCCAGACGTGGCCTCAGGGGACTGTTCAGCTGAAGCACAAGCAAGCTGAATCTGTGACAAAAACATCCTCCCCACACAAGCTGGTGGGGTCAGGGCCATGGCTGGAGTGGCCCCAGGGGCCAAAGGGGCTAAACTGCAGAACTGCTCTGCTGTTCTTGAGAGTGTAGTGGGGAGGGGGGAGAGACCCTTGCAATTTCCAGAGACAAGGAGGGTTCAGGAGGCCTGGGCATAGTTCCAGGAGCATCATGGGTACTGGAAAGAGGTGCAGAGGCAGAGGGTCTGAAGGAGGGGAGGGAAGAAGGGATTAAGCTGGCTGTTTTGAGGGTTACTGGTGCTTAAACCCAGAGGGACTCTGAGAGAGGACTGTCCCAGCCAGGTGACAGGTGACAAGTCCCAGGGCATAGGCAGGTTTGGGGCCTCAAGGCATCTCTCCTGCATCCAAGTGCCATGGAAAGGATCCCCAGGAGGCATCACACCCAGGGTCTGTGTGCGAGGGGTCTGACTTGTCACTGGGAGCAAGTTGGGGTGTTTGGGGGGCCTGTGACTCCCTAGAGCTCCCAAGGGGAATCCTCAGGCTGAGAAAGTACAGGAAGACGCAGGCAGGCACCATGACACGGGGGATAGCTGTGATCTGGAGTCTGTGCTCCTCATCTCTGCCTGTCCCCTGGCTGCTCCCCATGCCCAGTGCACCCCCCGGCACCTGGTGGTCCCTATGGGCGCTGCGCCGTGGCCGGTCATGAGAGGGCTGGCCGTTGATCTTGCATTCGTAGCAGGCTTCGGGCGAGAGCGGCTCCCCCTCATCTGGGGCATCCTGGGGTCCCGGGTTGAAGCCCAGGCCAGAGACACAGTGCCTAGGCCAGGACAGGGGGGGCAGGTGAGTCAGGCTGATGGGACCTCCCCAGCCACTCCACCACCCTACACTCCACTTGGAGCCACACTGCCCATGGGGACGAAGATGAGTGTGCCAGTGAGGCTTGGCATGCACCTACATGTGTGTGTGCAGCCCTTGACTTACGTGGGTGTGGGTGTGAACCTGCATGTACCCTGTCAACATGGGCTTGCACACATGTGCACACGAGGATACAGGAATGCACAAGGGTACCCAGGCATGTTGGCACAGGTGTGAGCCCTGTGCACACTCGGGTATATTAGCACTGAGCAGATGAAGGTATACAGGTCAATGACACACTACAGTGGGGTGTGAGCTTGTGTGTGCACATCCACAGGTGTTGCTGGGCCTCCGCACCACTTCTCAGCGTACAGGTATATACATGCCTGCATGTGGGCCCGCGAGTGTGTGTGCACTCCCGGGGTATGGGGGGCTCTGGGTTCACTCCACTCAAGCCCCTCACCCTTGCCCAGCCCGGAAGTAGCCTCGAGGGCAGCCGCACAGGAAGCCACCGGGGGTGTTGGCACAGCTGTAGCTGCAGGGGCCACTCCGAGCCGCACACTCGTCCACATCCTGGCAGCCCCTGAGGGCCTGGTCAAAGTCGAAGCCCGAGGGGCAGACGCAGCGGAAGCCGCCCAGTGTGTTGTGGCAGGCGGCACTGCCGCAGGCCGAGGGTGACAGGACACACTCGTTCTCATCTGTGGATGGGGAGGGGGAGAGAGGGCGGGAGGTGGGGGGCAGGGAGGCCACCTTCGGATCTCCTGAGCCCTCCACCTGCATTGCTCCTGTCCCCATGAAGCAACTCCCGCTCCTTCTTCAAGGCCAAGACCAATGTCAAAACCTCCATTGGGGGCTTCCCTGGTGGGTCAGTGGTAATGAATTTGCCCGCCAATGCAGGGGATACAGGTTCGATCCCTGATCCAGGAAGATCCCATATATGGCTGACCAACTAAGCCCGTGTGCCACAACTACTGAGCCCATGTGCTGCAACTACTGAAGCCTGCAGGCCTTAGAGCCCATGCTCTGCAACAAGAGAAGCCACTGAAATGAGAACCCACTCACTGCAACTAGAGAAAAGCCTGCACGGCAATGAAGACCCATCACAGCCATAAATAAATAAATAAAGCTATTAAGAAAACAAACCTCCATCAAACTCCCTGTGAGTCCTTGGACTAGGTCTGTCGGCCCCTATACTTCACCTCCCCACCCCGGATCCCGTGATTCTCCTTTGAAGCATTTCTCCAAACTTCCCAGGAATCCTAGGGACTTCCTGGTGGACCGGTGGTTAAGACTCTATGCTTCCACTACAGGGGCATGGGTGTGATCCCTGGTTGGGGAACTAAGATCCCACATGCTGTGCAGTGTGGCCGGGAAAAGAAAAGAAAAAACCTCGAATACAAAAAACTTCCCAG